CACGCATGCGTGCACACACACACACACACACATACGCACACGCACACACACACACACACACACACACACGCACACGCACGCACGCGTGCAGTAGTTTATATTTCGATGTTCTAGTGGAAGATTCATTCGATTTTGCTCATGCTATCAATGGACGTAGCGCGTAGGCCCGATGCGCCGACGCTGCGCTTTCCACCACCCCCACTTGCACACAGGAAACACCACGCGGCAGCAAACTTGGGCCTGATGCACACAGGAAACGCCGCATGGCACCGAATTCGCGTAGGTCCGACATGACGCTTGCCGCCGGGCTGGCGCGCGGCAAGGGGCCCATCACGCACAGGAAACGCCGTGCGGAACCGAATTCACGTAGGCCAACGACTTTCTTTCCCAGCGAGTTTCCCTTGGCCCAACATGACGCGCGGCACTGAATTTCCTTGGGCCCGCTGGGAAGCGTCCCGTTGGGCCCTTTGCAGTTTTTAATAGTATAGAGAAGAGATACAAAGAAAAAAAGAAAAGAAAAGAAAAGGACGACGACCAGGTTGAGGAGGAATATGTTAGTATCATGTTACTAAGATGGCAAAGATAGTAACAAGTAAGGAGTACGACAACGGATATTATCTTAAAACATGGATTTTCTATGAAGTACTATAAACCAATGGATCGTGAAAAATGTTTATTGCTTGCTATTACTCTCCTTTTTAATCACCTTTTTTTTCCGTATATCCTTCTCCTTTATTTTTGGCTACTCATCAAATGGCACTAAGTCTGCCCTGTAAGTTTCGAGCGGAGACGAAGCGGCATGTTTCATTTCATGCATCGACAACATCTCAAACACAACAAACAAAATGAAATTGCATATAATTGGCATTTTAGTAATTTTACTATGATTTAGCCAAAATACTTGGAGTAATAATACCACTTTTACTAGGAGTTGCTTTTTTAGTACTAGATGAGACGGCTGCTGGTAGGAGGACAAATAGAAGGGATGTGAAGAGGAGGAAGAGGAGAAGCAGAAGGAGGAGGAGGAAGAGGAGAAGGAGGAGGAGGAGGAAGAAGACAAGCAGGAGGAGGAGGAGGAAGAGGAGAAGCAGGAGGAGGAGGAGGTGGCAGAGGATTCGGAGGGCAATGACAGGAACGATAACATGTGGAATGAAGCAGGAGGAGGAGGATTGGGGTATGAGGTCGAGAGGGGGAGGAATGGGAGGAGGAGGACGAGGAGGTGGCAGAGGATTGGGAGGACAATGACAGGAGTGATGACATGTGGAATGGTACACTCCAGGAAGGAGGAGGAGGAGGAGGAGGAGGAGGAGGAGGAAGAGAAGGATGAGGATGAGGGTCAGGAAGACAAAGGCAAGAACAATGTTGTGTTGGATGGTACACTCCAAGGAGGAAGAGAAGGAGAAGAAGAAGGGGAAGGAGGAGGAGAAGGAGAAGGAGGAGGAGGACTGCAAGAAATATCAATCTCCGACGAGAATAGAAATCACTGCAGTCACCACCTGCCTTCTGGCTAAATCATATGCCCATGTAATACCAATAATTAACAAACAGTATCAAACACATCATGTGTGGAAATCCTGCGGGATATGATAATGCTAGAGGTTATTCCCCATTTCCTTTTCTTCAAAAAAAAAGGAAGCAATAGTCTATCTCCACCGCCATATGAAATAGCTGACAATTGGCAACCATGCAACACTGATGATGACAATTACAGGGATAATAAGTAGCATTCATACCTCAGTAAATGTGATCATCAGAAGATAGAAGACCAGAGCAAGTACCGCTGCCTGCAAAGGTGTCAAGTCGAACCGAGGAAAACGTGCCAAAAATCCAAACTGTGAGCATCCCATGTCCCTCTCATGCACACACACACACACACACATATACACACACACACACACACACACACACACACACACACACACACACACACACACGCACACAATGTCTTTCTTTCTACTTTCCCTGTATGCCTTTCTCCTTGATTTTTTCCAAGTACTTTATGTGGGTCTAACTGAGCACCTTTAAGCAGTGCCGAACAGTCAGTCAGTCCTCGCTTGCAGTCCCTGCAGCACTATTAGGGGCGCCGCTCAGTTCGATATGTCTGTGTTTCATACGGGTGATGATGGATGTTTGTGGACGTGGCTCCCTCGCTCAACGGATGGTGGGAACCGACAGTCTACGGGGTTCACTTGTGGTGTGAGTAGGTCATGTACTGCTTTGCTAGGTGTTGGATGTGTGGATGGCTTTTGTCGATGCTCCACCGGTGCCTCGCTGCCCATCCTGCTTGCTTCCCTGCCCTGCGCTTCACTGCACTGTTCGCCTTGCTGCGCGTCCGCTTGCATTGTCCTTCCTCGCGGTTAGCTCTGGATTTGTGCAGTTGGGTTGCCCCGGCGGCATTGCCTGGTGCTTCGCTGCATCATTGCCTGCTGCCGCGTTCCACTTGCAATGCTGCCTGCTGGCAGTCTCCTTTCAGCAAGTGTCAAAGGCTTCATAACTCAAAGCATCAATGTGGACATTCCGCATATTGTCGAGCGTTGAGGCTCCTGATGGTGAGTCGGCGCAAGTCCGACGAAACAATATGTCATCATTTTTTATTTAAAAAAAAATAAATAAATAAAAAAAAATCAAATCAGGCCTTATGGTCCTGGCTCCTTCTATTCTGGGGAGCGTCAGTCCGGTTCCCTTTTCCACCGGCAAGTCAAATACAAAAAACATCGTATCACACACGCTTCCTTCCGTTTGGCCGAAGGAACCCTGGACAGCATTGATTGGTCCACTTTTGGTGAAGGATTGACTGCCAGCTTGCCACTGCCCTCTCTTCCCTCTCAGACCTACCGCCCGGATCTGCCGGATATGCCTATTTGTACTAGGAAGAGCTCAGCCTTCTGACCCGTGTCTTTACCCTGCGTCTGTGTATGAAACCCTCAGCCCCTTCATTGCCCCCGTCATTTTTTTTGGTTCCCCATGCCTTTAAATCCTAACCCTCTGTTGTATGTCCAGATCTTCCTCTTCCCTGTTCTAGTTGCCCTTGTTTTCCCTAATGAGCTGGATAAAACTCTTGTAGCCCTTTCCCTTTTCCTCTACACTGTCCCAGACACCCTAACTTGCCCTCCACCCGGCGTCGTGGTGACAGCTTCCATCCTTAAACCCTAAACCCTCGTTCCCTTCTGAGTCCCTGATCTTTGTCCCTCCTAAGCCCAGCATGCTTTTCCATCGTCGCTTGTCTTTGCCACAGACTGTTGTGCTGTACCTTCCGGTTGCTGACTCCTCTCACCTTGCTCCTAAGGAGACTTGCCATTGTGTACAGCTTTTTTCCCATCTCTTTTCGGCCTTTCTCTTTATCAGCTTCCTACATATGCTTGGTCACGTTGGGGACTCCTGCTCGTGTCTGAATTGTGCCAGTCTTTCCAACCGCTCCGATCTTTACACCATTCAGCCTCTTTTCCGTCCAATAATCAGGGCCTTCTGAATTTATCCTTTGCTTTTTGCCGCTGGYTTTCCTCTTCCGGTAAAGAATATTGGGGYTTTCACCCTTTGCGGAGTATCTCCGCTTGGATCATAATCTTTGTCTCTGCTCACACCTTTTCTCTTGAGYTGGACGAGCCTTCRAGGGTTCTGCTGCCTCTCTCTTTCCATATGAACCCCAGCGTTGCCTTACGGATGCAGCCGAACCACAGTCCTTCTGCTTTTGTTAGCTGGTCAGGGATGTTGGTTCGGAGGAGAGGTAGGATAGGCAGTACAGGGAAGGGGGGGTTAGAGGAAGAACCCCACCGTGCCAGATCCCAAGTGTGGATTGATCAGGGGGGGGGGGGGGGGGGGGGGGGGGTAGTTGTCGGGGGCAAAGGATATCTTGGGTCTGATGCAGTTCTTGTTGTTGTGTGCATCCTGTTCATGCCTGTGGTTAATCCCAGTTTGTGAAAAGCAGGTTCTCTCTTTCTAATTTCGATATTTTTTCTTCCAGTAGCCATAGTTTTGTGAAGTTTTTACGTCTTAGTTCCCTCTTGTCTGCTAGAAATACCTTCTGTTGTTCCTTTAGCTCCCTATACCAGCGCGCCCTTATTTCTGTTTGTATGATGTTATTTATCTCCGTCCTTTTTTCTTCTGTGCTCGAGGTTTGGCTTTCTAATGTAGCTTTACATCTCGCTTTCCATATTACCCATAGTGTTGCTCTTCTCCACAGTTCTGCAACCATTTTTCTGTCTTCTTGAAAATTTTATTTCTCGTGTCTACCTGATAACAGGTACAGCTGGCTGGCTGGGAATTCCTGGCCGGTGAGTTTAGACCACGTCTCCTTGGTTCCCCTCCACATCTCCTGGGCTTGTTGGCAGTCAATCAGACAGTGGAATAACGATTCTTCCATGTTCAGGTTGCAGACTTTGCAATGTGAGTTTTGGTTGTGAGGATCATCCTGGTTTCTCCTTTTGGCTAGCCATTGATTGACCGGTAGTGCCCAATAGATTATAAGCCATTGTAAACCTCTGACCCTGGCAGGTCTTATGCTCATGAATTGACTCCATGGGATTTCTGCCGRCCACCTTGCGCTTGCRCCTAGATTCTTTTCCCACCTTTCTGAGATTGCTGGGAGTGGGTTCTTTGTGAGGTTGCCGACTTTATAGCCTATCTTSACCTCATAATTGTAGATTGTTGTGAGTTTTTTGGCTTTTCCTGAGGTATTGGGAACCATCCATCCCCATTCGGCTGGGTCTACCTCTAGGTCTTTAATGTCAAGATCTGGTCGGAAGAGCCTCAACCTGCTTATGTCCGAGAGGTTAGACTGGTTTTGTCCTGAGTTCTTTTTGAACGTGCAAACTCTGACCTTTCTGAGATTTTTCAGTTCTCTTTCTTTCCCTGTGTCTGTGACCTTACCAATTTTCACCCACGATTTGTGTACTTCTTTTAATTCATGTACGTCGACCTCCACTCTCCCTTCGTCTATGTTCGGCATTTTCATCAGTTTGAACGCCTCCGTTGGGGAATCTGCATCCTTCGCTGTTGCCCAGTCTCCCACTTCCCATCTTGTTTTGTTCCTGAGGATTAGAGCCCACTTTAGCGGGATGCTCTCCAGTATGCTTTGTAGTTGATCGTTTAGGTTGTGGACTCCTTTCAGCTTGGTTCTGAGCTCTTGTGTGGTAGTCCACCTGTTTTCCTCTAAGTTCCAAATATGGTCAATCTTCCACACTCCTCCGCCGATCCATTTTCTCCATCGTTTGCCCTTAGTGTTCAGTGACCATGGGTTGTCCTCTGGGTCTCTCAGCAKGGGATTTCCAAAAAGTGGTTGCCTCAGTACTTCTTCTTTTATTCTTGGGGATCTGATYTTTTTTGGGAAGMAAGTTCTCCAGTGCTTTATTAAAGTCGCCCAGTGCTCACTTGGTGGATYGTTGTTGTTCGACCGATTTTCTCTCCCTCCCTTTCTTGGGTTCCATGATGGGTTCATGATCCAATGGTAGCMTTTTATGGAGGGGTCAGCTTTGAAAGGGATGAGGTTTCGGATTTGGTGAAGTGCCATTTCRTGCCATGGTAACTCTTTGTTRAACAGCAATTTGATTATCCACTTATGCTGAAGGGCTTTAAACTGTGTTGCTGGGTTCAGTAACCCTAGCCCCCCCTGCTKTTYTGGTCTAGTGATATATTTCCAGGCTACTTTGCTGATGTAGCGTTCTTTTTCCGCTTTACCTGTCCAGAGATACGCCCCTATTTTCTTTTTAAGCGTTGTGAAGAAACTTGTCGGTGGGTTCCACAGGGAAGCTAYGTACCATCCCATAGACAGTATAGATGTGTTGATYACTARCACTCTTCCCATTAGTGATACGTAAGTTTCCTGCCAACCTGCTAGCTTGTTCATCATTTTGATCAGYRAGCTAGCGCYGGTCTCATCGCTAGTCCCTTCTGCTGAGATTTGGATTCCTAGGAAGCGCATTGGTTGTTGTGCGTCTAGCCATTGCAGGCCCTGGGTGTCTTGTGTTTGTTGTGGGGGGTGAGAGTCTGCTAACCACCAACCAACTGTTTTGTTCCAGTTAATCTTCATTTCTGAAGCCAATTGAAAAGCTTGCATTGCTTTAGCGAGGGCTGAAAAGGATGAGTCTGATGCCCTGATTAGAACGGTCAGGTCGTCTGCGAAGAGAATAGTTGTTGGGATGGGAAAATGCGTTCCGTCCTGTTGCACTGTGAGTCTTTCTATTGATGGGTCTTTGCGAAGGAAAGCTGCTATTGCCTCCATGACGAAAAGAAATATGGGGGCTGCAAGGGAGTCTCCTTGCCTTGCTGATCTGGACATTCTGTAGGTTTTGGAAAGGTGCTCATTTACTTGTACCATTCCTCTGGCATCCCCGTAGAGAACTCTTACCCACCTTCTAAAATTTGGGCCTACACCCATCTTTTCCATGCTTTGCTGCAGGAAATCCCAATTTACTTGGTCGTAGGCCTTTTCAAAGTCGAAAAAGAGTATGGCTGCTTGTACTTTTTTGTCCTTTATAATTTTAGTGGCTTCGTTTAAAGTTACTACATTGTCTAATATGTATCTTCCGGGTATGAATCCTGTTTGGTCTATGTGAAAACACTTATCAGTTATGTTCSTTATCCTGTTGGCCAGGGTCTTGGCTAAAATCTTGTAAATCACTGGAAGTAGTGTTATGGGTCTGTAATTTTTTATGTCCTCTCTGTCCCCCTTCTTGTATAGTAGCGTCACCACTCCCGTGCTAGATTCTTCCCCTAGGGATCCTTCGGTGAAAGCATCCTTGAAAAAGTTCGTTACTGTCTCCCCTAGGAGGTGCCAGTNCGTCACCAC